CCTATGTCCACAGAGGGAGGCTGTGAGGACTCAGGGATGTGCATGGGGGCAAGAAAAGCAACCACGGCCCTAGAAACCCATCGAACAGCAAGGAACATGGGGCCAGACTGGGCTGGGCAGTATGGAGCGGGTCAGTTTGAGTCGGGCCGTCTCGGCCGAATGACCAGGAAGACTGGGAGGGGCCCTAGAGCGGAGCCTGCTGCTGCTGTCATTCACCTGAGCTGGTCGTGCTGTGAGGCGGCAGCAGCCTGTATTACCTGGGGAGCAGCCCGAGAGCCGAGGCAGAGGCACGTTTGGGGTTTCTGGAACGCTCCCGTACCCACCCCGGCAGAGGGGGCGGTCGGTAGGACCCGAGGCCGGAGGGGGGCCCTCGGCTAGAGGACCGGGCGGCGAGCGCTCTGGCTCCGGGGGCTGACGCTGAGGGCGGGGCGAGCCCTGGCCTACGCACAAGAGTCGAGCTCCCGCTGCAGGGCCTCCCAGATGCTCCGAGCCTCGCCCAGCTCCTCGCTGGCTTTCTTTTTGGCTGCGCGGAGAGCGGAGAGGGTTAGCGCGGCCTCCAGCCCCACCGGTCCTTGCAGCGGCGACATGTCTTGCTCCCTTCAGTCACGCGCGGGGCCCAGCGCAGGGAGCGAGGCTGCGCAGCCCAAGGCCTGGCCTGGCCTGGCCTGGCCGGCAGAGGGGCCTGGCAGAGTCCAGCAAGGGTCCCGGCGTGTCCCGCTTGTGCTCGGTTCGGCCGCACGCAGACAGCCCAACCTGGAGGCAGCCGAGGGCCCGGAACCCACCTTGCTGAACCTCGTTAATGCGGTTAATCAGGACCTCGACCCGGGGCTCCAGGCTGCCTGCTGCAGAGAGGAAGGCAGCTGAGGGGAGCTGACCGAGCTGCGGGGTTCACGTGGGGGGCAAGGAACAGGCGGGCGCAGACTCAGGCTCCGGGGGCCAGCGTCCAGGGAATCGGGAAAGGGTTAGGCCGTGCCTGGGGGGCAGCCGGACATGGAGTGACAGAGGTCAGGCCGCGGGGTGGGGGGCTGCGTGGGGACGGCCTGGGCTCCCGCACAGGCCTCTGGGCGTCGGGTGCTCTGCGAAAGGCCCGGACCCGAGCTCCGCTACCGGCCCTGCTCTTCCATCAAGGAGCTAAGTCTTAGGCCAGACGGGGGACCCGCTGGCCTCCGCGGGCCTCTGGGCGACCCCGGCCGCGCCCCCCAGCGCGGCCGCAGGCACAGACC